AAACAAACACTTCATAGGCTCTATTAAAATTGAATTGTTAGGTTAACTGTAAAGGTTAAATGAAATATAAATATACTCTGTTCACTGATGGACATATGAATCATTGAACTAAGTAACTACATCGAAGGCTGCTAACACTTTCACAAAAATACAAATTCGAAAAATTAACAATTTAATCGGAAATAGATAGTGAAACTTTATCTAAAAATTTGACCTTGTAAAAATTATCATCAGATGATATGATTGCATAATTCATATTGTCAGATAATTATGAAAGACATGTTTCTTGAAAAGCAATATTAATATTCTCAACAATGACGTTCTTGAGAGAAATGTTTCGCGAGAAAAAATACAAGAGATATAAATTTATTTCAAGAATAGAAGAAACGAGTGTGACGAAAAAAGAATTAGATATATAAAAACAACTAGTTGTTGCCCGCGGCTTCGCCCGCGTAGAATTTGGTTTGTCACATTAAGTTTCGTGACAGACCATTTCAAAACAAATAGTTCCCAAAACTTCAGGTTTTCAACTTCAAAACTGACGAAATTCAATACAATCTTTGAACCCCCATGTTTCCCTCTTGGGGGGTGGAAATTACTGATTTCCTTTCTTGATGTTTATTTACGCTATACAAAGAACCTNAATCCCAGCCATGAGGAAAATTATTTGATTTGAAAGGGTTATATTTTTAGGAGTGATAAATTTTTTGGGAGGAAGAAACAACTATACTTTCTAAAGGTGGAAACTTCGCTTTCATGCCACAAAATATCAGCTAGTACTGAAAATAAGCTAAGAATACTACCCGAAGCTGCAGCGTAGGAAATACGGATTGAGATCGCCAACATCCTGAAAAAGGCCAAGCCTCCTGTCAGCAATTTGTCTAACTGGTACTCGAAACATAAAATGGCGATTCCCGATATTATCATCCTACCTGCAGATACGGTTAATGCAACTGTAGTAATGAACACTGCAGAATATCACAGTATACAAAAAACTGTTCCGAGATCACATAAAACTACAACTCCGGAGTGTCAACTACCTCGTCAAAGTTTAATCGATACCAACCAATAAAAAACAATTATAAAAACTTGAGTGGTACCACCTGTCTGGGCGGCCTACAAAAAATCCACAAAGCTCTCAAACTTGTTTTTCTGGTCTCTTGTCTGCGATAGACAGTTATCACGCTGCAGTGTTGCGCTAAGTTTTTAGTTCAAAAAATAAGTCCAACAGGATTTTCTCTCCGTGTGGTTGTAAATATTGTTGGCTTTGGCATTCCTAAAGTTTCGTTACGTAGAAATTTGGTTATGGCATAAGTATCTTTACATGAAGACAGGAAAGCTAGCAAGGAAAGAAGTCTGTCTGACTTTTTGCTAACGGAATTTGTCCTTTCCATAAAGGCGTTCAATGTAGAAATTTAGGCTTTCGCAGACTCCTTTTGAAACTGTTTGTTGTTTCGAGATTTCAAGTCGTCGTCTGTTGAAATGTATTCCTGACATTTCGCCGGCGCGAGTGGCTGGCATCTTCAGAGCTCTGTGGTATCGCTTACGAGATTGGCACACTCGTGTACACAAGCTACATTTATAATCAGCAGAAGAGGGGGGGGTGGAGGCACTCCTAACCGGATATGTTCCTTACTGTCGATCACTCTCAGACCTTGGTACGTTTAACGGAGAGACCTCTAACAGAGGAAGCCACATATGTACTTTCTAGAATGGAAACTTGACCATGAAATATGGCTATTAAGCCACGAAATATCTCAACTGAGGATAGAATAACCAGTACTGAAACCGCGGTAAGAACGCTATTGACATCGCCAACATCTGAAACAGGCCAAGTCATCTGCCATCAATTCTACCTGAAGGCAAGGGCAATGCAATTGTAGCAATAAACTCTGCATAATATGACAAAAAAATCACCAAACTACTGAAACCACCGGGCACAGAAAACTGGCCCGAGATTCCACAAAAGCACAACCCCCTAAGTGTCAAACAACCACCTAATCAAGTTTCAAGAACTATTTGTTTTTGCGAAAAAGACTTCTACTTCTCCATCTTTGGATGCATAACGCATAACTGCATAACGTCTGATACATGCTAGGGATCGCACGCTAAAAGGTTAGACTCCGTTAATTTTTAGCTCGAACAAGTTTCGAATTTTTGGGTTGCTGTTCTTAAGGGAGAAAACCGATGCAATCCTTATTTCCATTTCGAGAGATTTTATTGGACAGCTGTACAAGTATCTCATGCTTTCNTCAGCTCTAATGATCAATCAATTTGTGCTTCGGAAGTCACGGAAGTTATTCTATAATCCATGGATGCATATATTTCTTTTTCAATGAAACTAAATTCTAACGACAAACCTTGGTTCAACAAAAATTGCGAACAAGCTGTTCCCTCCAAAAATCTCGCCTACCGGCAATGGTGCAAAAAGCCCAGGGCCGAAAACCGAACTAGGTTTGTTGATGCTCGCAACAGTTGCAAACTTAGAATTTATTCTAAGAGAGAATTAGGGAATTAGCTGATAATCAAAACTTTACAAAATTCACAATTCCACCACTAACACAAGCGGGTAGTTGAATTGCAACAATAGCCATAGAAAAAGCAAATCTACTAGCTGAATAATTTTCGTTCACTCCACAGTCAATTTTCTGGAAAAGGTACCACCCACTATTCCCACACTAGAATCCACAATGCCAGAAATTACTTTCCGACAACGTCTAGTCAGGCGAATTTTGAAACAGCTCAATATCAACAAGGCATCTGGTCCTGATGAGGTGCTAGTTATCGTACTTAAAAAGTGCGCAAATGAACTCGCATCAGTATTTTGCAGACTTTTCAACCTGTCTTACAAGAAAGGGGTTTTTCCTTCTTGTTGGAAGATTGTTAGCATTCAGCCTGTTCCCAACAAGGGTAAAAAAATCTTCCAAATAACTATAGACCAGTCGCTTCACTATCAGTGATATCAAAAATCATGGAAAAAGTCGTAAACCACCATATCCTTAAATATTCGGAAGGATATAACATCTTGAGCGATCATCAATATGGATTTCGGAAAGAAAAGTTACTGAAATGTGTAGTTTTCTGGTTCTGCTTCTCAAAAGCTTGGAACACTGATCCGAACCAGAAAACTGTACACACCTCAGCAACTTTTGATGCTTTATAAAGCTCAGATCAGACCTTCTTTGGGAGCTCTGCCCCTAAGCATACCTTGAATCTGCTGGATTCCATCCAGAAAAGAGCCATTCACCTGATTAGAGAAGCGAACATCCCTTGCAACCTTGATAGTATAGAACATCAAAGAAAGGCTGGGGATTTGTCTCTCTTCTTTAAATACTTTCACGGGAAGTGTTCAAGCGACTTGGCACATTTGATTCCACCAAAAGCGATACATATCGGAAATAAGTGACACACTGTGGCTGCTCATCGTTTTGAGGTTCAACTCAGTACACCTCGAACTTCACTGTTTGAGAACTCTTTCATTTGGAGAACTGCGTTTATGTGGATTAAACCTGAGAACGTTTTTCCATGTGGATTTAATCTCCAGCGATTCATATCCAATATGAATCGCTACTTTGGCACAGGCACCGCTCTTAGAGCGCCTCAAGGATTTTCCTATAGTGCTTGTGTTTTGTCCTTAAAAAAAAAATTTCATTATTGTATGAAGATAACTCTTTGTGATATATCCCGAAGAAAGGTATGTAATTTCAAAATGATAATGAAAGAGTGCAGTGAGCAAATGTAGAGATTTTCCTTGGAGTAACATTTTCATAAAAAAATCGACAATAAAACACATCCTCACATGTGTTATATGATGTGGTATGATAATATACCACTGCATTTTATGATTCTTTGTTTCAACTAATATTTATTCAAATAACTTCCTTCTATGTGATCATATTCACCAACATTTGGTTCACTGAAGGAGATTCTTTCAAAAAATTTGGAATATCTAGCATACTTATTATATCTCTTGTCAAACGGTTTCGTATTTTTCTAATAAGTTTCCTAAACAATGAAATAATGGGTCTGAAGATAAGAGCAACTAGTTCAAAATATCTGCATTTGTGTTTTTCCAGTCTTCCATTTTTGCAACAACTCTTTCAAAAGGGAAAAGTGGGTATTTTTCATGAATTCATTGATTATTGATCCAGTTTGAATTTTTCATCAAAAAAGTATCATTTAACCTTCAAAATTATCTCCAATTACAAATTAACTTGGATACAATGTTTCTCATAATTGTCGGGTAGTTTGCATTTATCCTGAGTAATTGGTTATATTATTTTTTTCATTTTTTTTTTTCATCAAATTAATATTTACATAAAAGATAAAAAGAAAACTAGAAAATCAATATCAAATTGATTCAAAAGTGCATATAGATTATAACGACAAGGATCCACATTGGCTTCTTTCACTGTGTATGTAACCCTCCTTCCCGTTTTGAAGCGAGGAACTCTTCAGTTTCATGGCCTTGTTGATCTTTGGTACACTGTATCCATTCGATCTCGAGGTCAGCTGAAGATGATCCAGTTCTTCAATTAGATGCTCTAACTTTTGACTAGGGTGGTGGTTTGATAGTCCATACAGGTACCTATCCGTGTGCTTGGGTTTTCGATACACTTTGTGGGTTAGTCTAGCACCACGTCGTTCGATGAGTACATCTTGGAATGCTATCTACTGGTCCTGTTCAGTCTCCATGCTTAACTTGATGCTGGGGTTTTGAGAGCTGTAGTGGTGTAGAAAAAGGTTTAGAGCGTCCCCTCCATGTTTCCAGATGACAAAAGTGTCATCAACGTAATGTAGCCACAAGGTCGGTTTTGACTCGAAGGCGTCGATTGCTTTCTCTTCAAAATGTTCCATGAAGAAGTAGACTTCCCATTGTCACGCCATCTAGTTGCTCATGGAAGTTTCCCTCCATTAAAAGAATACGAAACAAGTTTCCTCGGAGTCTATCAGTGGGACGTTGGTAAACAAGGACACAATATCAAAGTTGACCAGAATACCTGTGGGCTCCAGAGTAAAGTTCCTAATTTTACTAACTAAGTCTGTCGAATCATTGATATAAGAGTTTGTCTTTTCACATGAGGCTGGAGGAGCGGGGCCAGATGGTAGGTAGGCGAGCCTAAGGCTCTGCCACTGAGCCCAATAGTCAGTGCCCCAGGCTAACTCCTTCAGCCTGATGTGGTAAAGACAAACTCCTGCGTCAAGGATTTGACAGAGTTAGTTGGTAAAATCAAGCTTGACACCCCCAGTACTGAAAACCAAAGAACACGAATAGGTAGGTACTTGTATACACTATCAAGCCACCATCTTAGTCAAAAGAGAAGAGCCATCCCTACTGTAACTGAATGGACACGAAGAATATGTGAACCAGAGCATCTAGTTGAAAAACTGGAACATTTTCAAGTGGAACTCATTAATACAGTTTATTGTATGATTTTCATTATAAAGGGTTTTACAATAGCTTTATCAAGCGTAAAATAATAAGTTGCTTCTAAATTACAACAGTTTAATAAAATATATTGTATAAAATAGTGTTAATTCCTATATAATTTGTAACATTTTCCCTGTTGCCGGATTTGAATATAGGTATAATAAAGCAATTTTTCCAGTAATACGAAAAAATGACCATTATAGAAAGATAGACTGAAAAAAAAACTGTATTGGTGCAGTTAAAGTATAGATACAGCTCTTCAATAATGCCGTCAGTATACCATCAGGCCCATAAGAATACTTGAGCTTTAAGTTATGGATACCATCAAAGACATCAACCAATCCAATATTAATTTTGTTACAATCAACTGTATCTTAAAAAAAAATCTGTTTTTCCGTTAACCAGCTGTCGCACTCCTACGAACGACAACCCTCAGAAGCTGAAACTTGTGCGAGCTAAGGATTAACGAGGTCTTACCTTTTAACGTGTGATTCCTAGCGCGTGAAAAAGAGTAGTTTGGAAGTATACAGTATGTGTTAGAATAGACTTTTGCGACGTGTTGGGCAAACAAATTAACAAAATCATTTCCACTATGACTGGTCTGGTTTTCCAGATACAACAAACTCAATGAAATCGCTATTCTATAAAGGACTCGATGAGTTCAATAAGCTACCACAAGACACCAAGCAATCTAATACCATTTATGTATTTAAAACGAGGATCAGTAAACATATCGAGTCACTATAAATCACCAGAATGTATTATAACACAATCAATCTTGTTCACACGAATTTATATACTTCAAGTGCATTATTTTATTTTTCAGTATTTGTCTTTCTATTCTTTTTATTATATAACTATTAGTCAAGAAACATGTTTGTATTGCTATTTTTCATTTTTATATTAGGACATGTCCTACTAAATAATTAAAGTTCTTCTTCTTCTACAAATAGGCGCAACTAGTCAATTTAGCCTTCTATGAGATTGTGAAAGGCATGTATTATTTGAACTAAATAGACTTTTTGTATGGGAAATATGAAAGAATAGTGATTCAGTTATGATTTATTGTTACCAGAAAATAATTTCTGAAATAGTCAAATTTTCAAAAATTTGAATGGCTGAAAGTGCCATGCTTTGACTTCATATTCGTGATCTGAAGACTGAAATATGAAAGTAAATCCAATAAAAAAAATTTGAAATAGCGCATGCAGTGTAACCACATAATCGCCAATAATTTAATCATGACAAAATGAATTGACCTCTAGTCTCCAGATTGTATCTTCAATTATTGTTCACAAAAGCATTTGTTTAAAAAAAAAATGAAAATTATGCATTGTATTGTTTGGATTTTGATCGACTGACCTAGGTGTATGAAGAATATGTGTTGAGATTACTACAAAAAAATCAATTTTGGGAACTCAAAAATCTTACTTTCAAAACCCAATTCCAAGGATTTATGTAAAATGTCTTAAAATTATTAAATGGCAGTGCTCATCACGACCATCGATTTATGTGCTTCCAATAGCTGTAAAAACTGCCTAACCTTCAAGAAAACAATCTAACATCCATTGTTTGCACGTCAGACAAATAGTTTAGCAGAATTTAAAATACAGAACTAATGTCTTAATTTATAAAAATTCGATTGTAGCCCTACAACTATTGTCAGTTGGGCAAATACTTCCATCGGTATAAAACGTTTAGAATAACAATTTTCATGCTAAAAAAGAACACTTACCTAACTTGACGCCACCGGACATAGTTAGGAGCACGTTTCCAGCCTTCAAGTCTCTATGAATAACATGAGATTTATGTAAAAACTGTAGTCCCTTGCACATATTTTGGCACACATAGGCAATCTGGGGTTCATTTAAAGGTTTTTCTAACTCAGTCATTATACTATCTAAAGCACCACCATCACAATATTCAATTAATAGCCACAACTGTTGTTCTTTCTGAAATGCTTCATGAAGTTCCACAATGTTCGTATGCTTTATTTCAGAAAGAATATCAATTTCAATCATGAAGTCCGAAAGATCATCTTCACCATCCAGTCGACACATCTTGGCTGCAGCTAATTCTCCAGTGTGCTTATGTTGAGCTTTGTAAACTTTACCATAAGCACCATCTCCAAGTTCCCCGATCATATCCCAAAATTCCTCAGGATCACAGTCCATACGGACGTTATTATATACTTTCTTCTTTTTAGCATCATTGCCTCCAAAATGGAGCACCTTTTTAATATTGTTGAAGAAAGACATGATGAATACTGTTTCTAAACACTTTTTGAAAACAAACTTTCAGTTCTCATCTACATTATCACACGTTTCAAATTAACTTTTTCGTTCTTGGAGAATACTTTTTCCTCATTTTCTATTCTAACTTACATTACCTATAACGAATAAAATACTATATTAGAATTCAGTGGAGTATAAAGTAAAATAATTGTAATTGTTCATAAATGATTTTATTAAGTAGACTAAGTAAATAATTAAATCAGACTCATTTTTTTCAAACTCTAACTCCAGTTCTGTTTCAATGTCTATATAATATTTCTGGCTATGAATAAATAATGGTTATTTAAAAACGTCTAAACCATATTTAAAATGAAAATCCCATGACTAGTTATAGTGAAAGGAAATGTCAGATCAGGGAAACACAAGTTTAAGGAACAACAACCTGTCTTATTTGCAAAAATGAAAATAGTTATTTTCACTTACTTCACTAAAAATATCATCACTCGTTTTACGGAAAGCGAGGTTGTTTATTTATCAGCACTTCAATTATGTATTCCCTTATCAGATTTGTATATTTTCATCTTTCAGCCATGGACGGCCATGCCAATTTTTACCTATACACCTCCGCACCCCGCTGAGATACCAAGCCCGTAATGACATCATTAGGTGACTGTCTAGCCAGGTCGAAGAGCTTCAATTAAGTATACTTTCACAAAACTCCAATTCCTGGACAAAGATACAAATTCAACAGAGATCAAATCGATCACATTATTGCACGCTTAAAAAATTGTAATTTATTTATTGAAAATACATTTACTCATTTTCTATTCATTTTTTTTTTCAGAGAGAATGAGAAGTTCTTATTGACCAATCAAAAATGTGATGTTTTTCAAAAATCGACTTATTTTGGTGGCAATCTGATTGATAGGTATCATAAAATTATTGTGAAAAATGTTGGTATATAATTAAAGTGTAATTAGGAAACATTGTCGATCCAAGCTTGACACACAGAAGTAAAACTAGACAAATAATAATAAGGTGTTCCTTAGGAGTAAATGTATTTCTTATAAGTTCTTTTTTTATTCTAAAACACAAAAAAACTCTTGAAAGCCAAAGTGTGATCATTCTGCTTGCACTGAGTATTCTGAAATTATTCATTGAATTCTTTTCCATAATTGTAAATTTCATTTATTGCTGTAACCGACTTTTCAGAAAACATTTCGGCCTGAATTGAAGATCTTTTCTCACTGCCAATATCGGATATGTTCCAAAACTTACTTCGCACAGAACCACAGAACACAAATAAAGGGAGAATCTCACTAGTTACCTCATTGACATAATAGGAATTCAATCGGACTGTTCCTTCTTCCACCAGCTTTCATCTGAAGCGAAGGCCAAGAAAACCTAGAGAGAGAGATACAGCTTTCAACTGATGGCTTTCATTAAACGTTCCGTTTGTTTGAATTTACTCGATTACATTGCCAAGAGACCCTATGAATTTGCTGACTTCCTGTCAGCTGTCTATTAGTAGGCGCTTATAAAGTAATAAAGGTTATGTACGTGAAAATACGGTTTGAATTTGGAACTTTTGGAAGTATTTTGACAGCGTTCGCTATATATCTTTGTAAGTAGAACAAGAAAATGTTTCATATCCAGAATAAATGGCAGTCTGTCAATTGTCAACTACGGACAATGTTCCCATTTTTACCAAAAATAGTTTTTATCGGATTCATTCCCTTACAGTTTTTACGTAAAGAACACACACACATCAATTATTCATTTTGTTTATTTCATTGTTCATTCTATGCCTATTCTACAATATCATTCAATAATAGAAATATACATAAAACTTATTATTAAGGATGTTGAAATACAAGCGAACGTTACATTGTGGACTTTTTTATTGCCACCATGCTACCTCAAGAGAAAATATAAAGAATGGTTATTTGATTTTCGACGAATACAGCAGTATACAACTCTAAAATTCAATGCTGCTTTTCAAAGAATCATTGAATATCTCTTAAAAAGGTATATAATTTTCGTAATACTGAATTAAATTCGGGAAAATACAGCATCTAAAAATTAAGATACAAGCACTGGGATCTTTCCCAATCAAAAGCCGTACAAAAAGGGATTTCGAGGGATGGTTATATTTTTTCATGTGGTTTCGATAACTGTCGAATATCATTTAAAATTTTACGGTGTTTCAAAGTATCATTAACGATAAAAAAAATAAAAAAACTCATGATGCCTTATATTTTAGTTTCTGAATCAATTGAATGTCGTAAAAAAATATATGTACAAAAAAATTTCAATGTGTTTTTTTGTCAAATTGATGTAAATAAAACGGAGAACTGGAAAAATTTGAATCTTCATTTCCAACTTTGTGATGAATATCAATAAAATTTTCAACTTCACAAAATTAATGAATATAATAACCCAGTGAACATTGAAACTTCCTTGTAGAAAACTATCCCGTCTTTGTAGATACTAGCTTCTATTACAAACTCATATACATTATAAAAACGAACTTGCCGGTGCCAATTTATTCCTGTTAATTTTCTGAAAACGTATACGTAAATTCGATATCTCATATTTAACTTTACAAAATTGCAAAAGGAAATCAACATATTATATCACTTTTAGGTATTACAGATGGTTTTATCCTAACTTTAATATGCAGTTCTGCTTATCAAAGCTTAGACTCCATATGGTAAATCAATGAATTATTTTTCGGATAATTAGAGAAGTAATATTTGAACTATCATCTGTAAGTATTATGCTACTTTCATGCATGTGCTTCTATAGACATGCATATACAGATCTTGACTATGTTTAGAGAGGGATATCGCCATTTCTGTGTGTGACGTAGTTTACAGTTGTTTTTTTTTTCTTCATATGAATGTGGACATGGTACCTAAGAAATGAAAATCAGTCTGACTCTCGACTAGAGATACATACATACGTATTAGGAAAATAAATATTTCAAAATGAGAATACGAATCACACAACTCTTCCAACGTATCCAGTTGGATACATATTTTTTTTACATACCATATTCAGATTCTTTGATACATGTATGTATCTCATTTTAAAAGGTAATACCTTGTTATTCCTTAGCTCTCCCAATTTTCGACTTTTAAGGGTTGTCGTTCGTAAAGGGGCGACAGCTAGTTAACTGAAGAACAGTTTTTTTAAACGGATTCAGTCATCATACTGATTTAGATTTTTGTCAAAATTGTTGGTAAACGGGATGTTTTTTTCCGCTTGGGACTTTTTTTACGGAAGCTGCTGTTACTAGTTAAAAAATATTTTTCTCAGACGAAGGAATCGTATATACAGTCGAGTTACGATGAAGTCAGTCAACTCCCGAGCACACTGCTGTCTGCTTGGTCATGGTACTTTAAAAATTATTTTTTCTCAAAACTCTGTTCAGATTTGAAAGCATCTGAAGGATTCTTTAAATTTTCCCGATTTATGAAAGAAACTAAGACGTTTCGTTGAATTTTTCAAAAAATAATATGTATTTTTTCTTTGAAATTTTGTAACCTTTGCTGCACTCAGCCGTGTATCATCAACCGTTTCGGTCCACTATGACCATCATCATGGTTGGACCAATGAAAGACCAAAGACTGAAATACCAACTTGCTTTTGACTTCCATGTTTTGAAAGCATTTATCTCTCATCATGAAATGAAGCTAACTAAAATTATGCAATGTTTTATGATGACTTTCCAGTCCAACAATGAAATGAGCTGAAAGAAAGTCTAACGACGACCAATATTGTCATGGAATAAGATGCCTAAACATTGGTGTAGCACACCAATTGAACTATTTCTAGTATTTTTCTCTATCTTCTGGTACGTCAGTACTACTATTGAAAGTACGATGCAATTCTAGTACTATTTCCATTTTTTGCCTCTGCTCTATGACGTTTTCGTTCATCGGTCCTTATGTTTATACTGAAGTGGGTCTGAACAATTTTTTTTTAAAGTTCTGCTCTGTTTTCTGCCCCTGTGGTGCCGCGCCTTTTTACTCGTCAAGGAATTTCAGTTGATCAGGGTTCTTTACTTCAGAATCATACTTACTTCCAACAGATCATGCCTCTCTTTGTGAGAATTGGAGTTGCCTTCTTTGTGTTCATCAGCTTGACGTTTACCTAATGAGAACAATTTTCTTTCAGTTGCTAGTTCATTTTCTCGCGAAGAAGCTGTTTTTTAGATTATTTCTTGTTTTCTTTTTATGAGTAGGCAAAGTTTTGAGTTCTTCTCTCTGTAGATCTTCTTTCACAAAAATATTAGTTCCCTTCAGTTTTCTAAAATTCCTGATAATTTCTCTTTTTCTCCGTTGAAAAAAGACACCAATATGTCGGTCTAGGTTTTTACTAGAATTAATTCCCAGTCTAATGATATTGGTTATTTCTAGAGAATTCACAACTACTTCTTGGTTTTGTTTATAAACAGCAATAATGGGGAATGTTCCTCATTTTGGGTTATTACAGCAAATGCAAGTTTGAAGAAAATAAAGTTGAGTTTGATTCATGAGTTTTTCAAATTCACTTCGAAAAGTATTCAAATTGATGTTTCAAATGTTGGGTTTTAATTTTTAAAGGGATTTGTTTCTAATTCACATATTGGCAAGCTTCGACGCCTCTGAATTTTTATCAACTTCCTGTAGCTTTCCATCTACAGCTACAGATATTGATCTCAGTTCCTCAATAAAATTTCAATTTGGCCGGTGAGGTTGATATTCACCTCTTTCAGCAAAATGTCCTCTGAATCGATCTTTTGATCTCCATTTTGCATCGTGTTTCTTATATAGATCCCTTGAACTGGTAGACAAGCCGTCAATTCTGAATTACTTCCAAACGTGGAGATTCCAGAGGTTAAATTCCAATTCGTATGTAGTGATTGCGGTCTTGCATGTTTTTCATGCTACGTTTTGGGGTATGGAAGATGAAAACTCACTTGTTGGTAGTTGATACCATATGAAACACATTCACTCAAACAGATACAATTTAAATTCTTTTGAACAAGGCAAATTTCCTGAAAACTTCAGAGGTCAGTTTCGTTTCAGACGTCTTAACTAGCGATGTAGTCACCTCATCAAGGTGAAAAGTAGCTATTTCGTTTCCAATTCAAGACCCATTGGTATTAGGATATCTAAAGATTCACTTTTGAGATTTACTTCATTTATAGTTTATATAAAAAAATGTTCTTGCTAGAATCCATGACATAAAACAAGCAGAGTGTTCATAACGATGAGTGAGTTAATAACATATGCTTAAATATTGACAAACTATACCATGTTTGAATTTGAAAAAGCTCAACCAAACACTAAATATTGATCATATCACTTCGAATAACTTATACATTAATTGCACACAAAACAATAAAGTATTTGAACTTATTGAAATTAACTTAAAATGGAATGGCCATATATATGTACTAGCGAACCGCCCCGGCTCCGCACGGAATACTAAATTTACATGTAAATGGGTACGATCGCTGCTTATCATAAAGTGATATTGGGCGATGCCCGGCCTTCTTCGCGCTATTTATAGGAGCCCGCCGCCGGTACCGCCGCAACCGCTATGTCCCTGCATTTCAAATATGTAATATCTTTGTATATAGACTAACCGTAATATCCTCGAAAATATTCATTTTAATTACATTCTGTTAAAGGATATATTGATCTATATCTGTGAAACAAATTAAATGCACAATGTATTTAGGGTACTTAATTGGATAAGGATTAATGCTGCATTGTGGAATTGGCCGCGGTGGTAGTGCGCCCGACTCACGATCGGAAGGCCGTGGGTTCGATTCCCGCCTCGATCAGATATTTTTCTCGAGAGAATTTATCTTGTTGAAGCTGGGATGATTCTGCAACCGTGTTAGGAATCACACGGTAAAAGGTAAAACCTCATTAGTCCTTAGCTCGTACAAGTTTCTCAACTTCTTAGAGTTGTCGTTAGTATGGGGGCGACAGCTGATTAACGGAAAAACACATTTTTTAAACAGATTGCCTCAAATACTTCGTGAATAAGCCAATAAGCCAAATAATAAAAAATGGTTATTGTGGTTATCCCTAAGATACATATACCATAGCGAACTGTTTTGTGAACTTTTTTAAGGTGTATAGTACTGTAGTTTCTAGAGTTTTTATATCCTGGAATGGCCAAACTAAAATCAATTAGAGAAAAATGATCATAGTTTTGAAACTAGAAACAAAAAGCTATTGATACCACCAAATTATTCAACAAACCAGAAAGGTATTTATTAAAATGAATTCAGGTTTCAAGTTCAAAAAATCAAGATTTTGTTTTTTCTAGAATCTTATAAAATTGTACCTCATCATTATTCCTCTGGACTCAATGTGTACAGGGCGTTTCCTAACTACAGTCTGAAACTTTCAGAGGGTGATTCGTTAGGTTGTTTTAAGAAAAAAAGTTCTTATGAAGAACATATGTCCTGAGGTGCTTTGTTTCTGAGATACAGGGCGTTGAAGTTTAAAAAAAACGGTATTTATAAAATATTATGTGTGATTGATGACTTGTTTACTTTATGATAATTCATACACCGATTGGGTTTGAATTTGCTACAGTTATTTCAAGTAATAGGGTGCTTATTTGGTCCTGACTAAATTGAAATTATTAGGTCCAGTGGAGTCTCAATAGGCACCACAGCTAACAATATTGGGGGAAAAAGCCACTGACTTGTTGCAGTTTTTATTTATTTTTTTAGATTACTCAACTAAAAATACAACTTTTTGTTCGACTGTGTTTTCTTCATATCTAGTTTCGTTTTCAAGAAGAAAATTGAAGCCACTTTGCATATCATGAACACCTGCTGATAGTGATAGTGCTGTCATATCAGTGAAAGTCAGAGTTGTCAATGCACTTTGTTTATGGATAAGCAAATGGAAATGCAGAAGAAGCACGGAGAATTCACCAGGACCGATATCTTAACAGAGTAATTCCATATGCTAAAACATATATAACACTACATTCATGATTATATAAAACTTGAAGTTTTGATAAAAATGCAGGTGGTGGAAGACCAGAAACTGTAACAACACCTGAACTGGCAGAAGATATACTTGATGCGATAGAAGATCCTTCAAATAGTACCAGGAAGTTGGACGTCAGCCCAAAAACACCGTATGGAGAGTTCTAAAAAGAAACCTCCTATACCCATATCACATACAGTGGGTCCAAACTTTAATGTCTCGGGATTTTCACTCAAGATTAATGTTTTGCAGATAGTTGATTCATACAATGCAAACAATAATTTTTTACCAAAAATTATATTTACAGGCAAAGCAAACTTTTCATGAAATGCTATTATGAACTTTCACAATGACCATTTTTGGGCCGACGAAAATCTCCACGTTATTAGACAAAGTCATTTTTAGCAACAATTTTCGCCCATTTTTTCTACCAGCAAGATTGGCAGATGAATCCTACATATTAGAAGAAGTGTCGGTACTTGTAAGAGGCAATATGTGGTTTATGCACAAAAAGGCTCCAATTCATTTAGTTTTTTTTTGCTCGTCAGCATCTCAACATCACCTATCCTAATCGCTAGATTGGACGTGCAGGACTTCAAATGGGCCAGCTCGCAGTCCTAATATAAATCCTCTAGATTTATATTTATGGGGTCATCTGAAGGCTCTTGTTTATAAAACTCCTGTACTAGATGTGAATGACTTGAGGAATTGAATAATTCACAACTACAATGTCATACGGAATACTCCAGGTATTTTTTAATAATCAATGACAAATCGATTGCAGTCGTGTATTTTATCAGAAGGTGGACATTTTACTCATTCACTTCAAGGTCGAAATCAGTTATTATTTACTTTTGGTTTTTATTTTATGTAGTCCATGGATAGCTTTCAGAGAAGTGATTTTTTTTCTCGAATACGAAGCTTGATATAAAGAAAACACAAGCTATGAGAAAGTTGTATTTTCAGTTTGCTTGATCTAAAAAAATACAAAACTTCAAAAAAAAGTCAGTGATGTTCTTTTTTTTTTCTCAATAGTTGACTGTGGTGTCCACTGAGAAGCACTGGAACTAATAATTTCAATCTAGTTAGGGCTAAATAAGAGCCTTATTACTTCAAATAACTAGCAAATTTCAACCAAATCAGTGTAAGGATATTTATATTTTATAAATACTGTTTTTTTTTTCAATTCAATGCCCTGTATCTCAGAAACAAAGCAACTCTGGACATATGTTCATAGCAACTTTTTTCTCAAAACAACCTAACGATTCACCCTCTGAAGTTTTGTACCATAGTTTTGTGAAAGTTATGGTTTTTAAGTATATCAATCCGTTAATGTATATTAAGTGTCAGTTTATATTTATTTAAATGTTATGTTGAAAAACTAAAGTTAGTTGGCATGTATTTTACATACCTACTTATTTCAATATTAAACTATTTCCATGTGACAATGTGTAATTTTGTAAATGCTTTTAGAATCGTAAACTGACAATTCTGATAACCTGCAATCTACTCATATTATGTAAGAAATGTATGGATGCTTTATACAGCAACAATGATATAAATAAACACCAATTTGTACACCATTCAGAAGACTTCATAGTAACACTATATATAGATGGTTATCCACATTTTCAAAAGTTTACAATGGTTATTTGAGGGAGATGATTTTCTTGTGGAAGTGTTTGTAAACTGTTTTTTAATCAAACTTTCTTAGAATTTGTATTTTCCACAATCTGAAAAAAATAAAAATGTAGTATCTAAGTACGGATGTAAAAAACTCCTTTGATATCTGTCAAGGAAATTTGAGAACAAAACAAATCGAAGAAAGCTAAACTGCAACTTACATCTGATTTTCCTCAATACTAAAAAAGGGGGTAGATTGTTGAGATATTAGGTATTTTTTTGATAGGCAAAATTATCTCAAATATGACAAGTTACTGATAAATAGCGAATTTTCCTTCATGAATGCATCGGGTCAACTAGAAGTTTGCCTTTCTACACTGTATAAAGTTTTCCATTGAATTTTTTTCGTCAAATTGTGTAAAGAGAGAATCTCAGAAACATCAATAAAAAAGTTTAGTTTCCTCCACAAAAACCAACTTTTGTTCAATATCTGATGATCTGTACGAGAAAGTGGAATCCAATCTTCTAGCTTTTGAATTGTTTTGAATTACATCTGAAAGATGGTTCCCAATTATAGAACCATATCTCCCAGATTTGTTTCTAGAGTTTGGCAAAGTTTTAGTTCTAGTGTAGAAGATACTTTCCAGAAACCTGAAAATAACAGAGTATTGCTAGCAGTATCAGGTTTTGATTTAGAAGAAGAAAAGGTAGAAAGATGGTCAACTTTTGAATTTTCATCAGTTTTGTACATTTTGAATATATGATATTTTTGTTAACTCTGCTTCATTGATTAATTTTCAGAACTGGGTAGGTATTAAATTCGCAACACCAGCCATGCCTCAATTCATACTATTTGTTTGGTATCCTTACTGACAAAATATACTAAAATTATAGTGAGGCCAACAGATGTGGCTATCAGTAATAAAACGTTCTTTAAAAGATTTTATATAACTATTACAGTGCACACTAACTTTTTTCACAATTGGATGAGAACTTATCAGTTTCTTTTCCCAGGTACAGTTTCATAATCATGTCTACGTGGAAATGTTTCAATACCCTTTGTCATAGGAGTCATTTTGCCGGCTTTGGCGTCCACTTCTATTGCATTTTTTTTCTTCATTTGCATTATGGCAAGATTTTTCATAACTTCCTCTTCAGTAGGAGGTTCCTTCCTTCTACCTCTCAGCCATGCTTCCCATTCCGCTGGCATCTCTTGCATAAAATCTTCCTTTTGCGGTGGATCAAACCATCTATTCGCTCTTCTTTTGCCAACCGATGGATTTGATGGGATCTCATAATATTTGTTACCGAAATAATCTGAGCCTATCAGAGTTCCTCGAAACTGTCTTGGTTTCAGAGAGTTCAGAAAGTTTCTAATTATCATTGCTAATATGCTACGACCTTGAGGCTGAGCCATATTTTTGAGGAATAGATTAATTTATAAAATACAACCAGCATTGATTTCCATAAAGTTTAATGTATATCTTTCTCGTTACCATAAAAATTTAGCATTTGTCAATTTACAGTCAATTCACACAAGAACAAACAGCATTACCTATTGCCTGTTGCCAGTGTCTTATTTTCAAATCCTAGAGAAGCAAGAATCGCGGCACAGAACAATTATTTATTCTGCGCAATAACTGCGAAAAGCACGTTTATTCTAATGAAGAAAAGAGAAATTAAACTTTCTATGTTTTTTACCACTTTTATTTGTTATTTATTAAGTTACTGCAGTTTCGTCCTATATGGGCATTTTCAAACTTATACAATAAACGTACGTTTATTCTAATTATTTCCCTAGTATTTACCGTTTTCAGGTACATTTTGTCAAACTTCAATTGATGTTTCATCAAGTCTTGACCAACGATTGTTTAGACCAAAGATCGTCTAACCAACTAGGCATAAACTTGGGTTCTAGTTCTGCGAGTCTATCTAAACTTCTGAAAATATGATACCTTGATATATAGAACATGCGCAAGTATGAATATTACTAAGTCACTGAATTTATAAGTTAATCATCAAAATGTTGGTAAGAAAATAAAATATAATTAGCTACACATAAGAAATAATAAGGCGTTGAGAAAATATTGGTATAGTTAGCAGAACAAAATTCAAAACAAGTTTGAAAACCGTAAGGAGGAGAGATAAATACGTATAAGAAAATAAATATTTCGAAATGAAACATTGAATAATATCAGACAGACATTTATGCAAGATACCTCACAGAGGTTAGTCTTACAGATGTTTCTCGTTCAACAGCAGCAGCACCATGCTGAAATCAATGCAGTACAACACCTATAGACCAGTTTAAGAGTATTATCTCTCATCAGTGCAGGAAAGATCTGATCAACACAGCAGTGTGCCTGGAAATGGATTAATTTCCATACGGCTCGACTGAATGTGAGAAATATTCGTCTGAGAGAAATTTTGTTGACTAGTAACAGCTCTATCTCATGAATAAACCCCCTCCAAGTAGGGAAAAATATTCCATATCTGACATAAATCAAAACAAGTCTGAATACTGTATCGGGGATAGATACCTACGTATAAAACAATAAATATTTTAAAAACATAATCTGAAAAGATTCATCTCTCTCAACTCATCTACATGCAGTCGAGCATCACGTTGAAATTTATCGAGTCACAAGCACACTGCTGTTTGGGTAGGATTTTTCCTGCGCCAATAAGAGGTAATACCTCGAAACCGGTCTATTGGTGATCTACTTGATTGGTTTTAGCATGGTCCTGCTGCTGATGGATGAACAAGAAATATCTGCAAGACTAACCTCTGTGACATATGTTGCATAAATTGCAGAGACAGTGTTATGTTGCAGAAGGACTTGCAATATGTTTGCGAGGAGTTGTAAAAATTACCTATTCTTCAATGTGAAAAAATGCAGTGTTATGAGAATAAGAGATCCGTTTGTTTGAAGGTGATTGATAATGTTTCATGATGAATTTCACTAGTTCGGACTTCCATTGTCTACTATATAAAATGATTTGAAATCCCTGAAACAACTAAAAGAGAAGAATTAAAAATGAGATAGCTGAAAATAATAATTATATTAACCAAAATAAACCTGAAATAAATGAAATAATGGTGAAATAAAATACAAGTAAAAATAGAACAATTGAATAAATAAAAATAAAGAAATGAAAAAAAAAATAAAAATAAAAAGTGGAGAGATTCCGAGTCACGTAAGTTCACGACGTTTCGAACTATTTATAGGTCGTTCGAGTACTTTCACTTATCCCCGCTTTCTATTTTCCGCTTCACTGGTTCCGTGGGAGATGACCGTTTTGGCGGGAGTTGGCCATTTTTCGCTTGATGATGGGTTTCCATATGTTGCGTATTTCTACGCTAGCTTGGCTGAATACGTTGTTGGACAACATGTATGCGGCTTCCTTGAATTTTCTCCTAAACCAATGTTCCTCTCTGTGCAAGATCTCAGCTTGGGAACACTCGATGTTGTGTTGATGGGTCCAAACATGGTCTGCTATTCCTAATTTGCTGGTTTCCCCTCGCTGTGTGTGTTTCTTGTGCTCGGCAATGCGAACATTCAATGGCCTCTTAGTTTCCCCAATATAGGATATTCCGCACTCACAGGGTATCCGGTAAATGCAATTCTTGGAATCGCAGTCCGCGTTCTATTTGTTCTATTTTTACTTGTATTTTATTTCACTATTATTTCATTTCAGGTTCATTTTGGTTAATATAATTATTATTTTCAGCTATCTCATTTTTGATTCTTCTTTTTTAGTTGTTTCAGGGATTTCAAATCATTTTATAATGGAAGTCCGAACTAGTGAAATTCAATAAGAGATCCATAACATTTGATTACATGATGCACGGAGAGGGGTTGAAGAGCATTAGGGAAATGAAAGACCTGGGTATTACAATTTTTCCAATACAGAAGCTATAGAGATTTTGTACTACATACTAGTTAGATCGAAACTTGAATTCCGATCAGAAATTTGGATAGGAGAATATCAAACTTCACTTTTCAAAGTAGAAAAAATTCAAAACAAATTTTTGATATGTTTGTACTTCAAAAAATATCGTATTTATCCTGACTACAGGATAGTTAGAACAACACAATCGAGAAATGAGTTCAGGATATTGTCTCTGGACGATAGAATAAACCAAAATATAATGATATTTCTATTCAAACTACTGAATCATAAAGTCAACTCTCCTGAACTCCTTACACGGATATTTGATGTGCCTGCAAGAAGAATAAGAAATTTGTTCTTACCCCTAGTTCGTACCACTTTTATTAGTTCACTACTTATAACCATGTTGCCACTAGCCAATTCATTCAACTCATTAATGGATATAGATTGGACAGTTTCATTGAGCGCTTTCAAAAAATTCATTACGCAGTACATAAGAAATTCCAATTAAGAATGTATTAGATATTCATTTGACTGTAAGTCATTCAAATGTATCAATGCAAATTTACGTTTCAAATTTAATTTTTTATTCATGTAATGAGGCCCTATAGGCATCTTTGAAAAATAAATAAATAAATGTGAATGTACCTTATTATATCGTATTAGATCATTTAATTTTAATGTATTAAGAATTTATTTTGAGTTTGTGAATGTATTGTTCATCTTAGTCATCAAGTTTGATTTCATTAATTTTTGAGTTAAAATGTGCGGTTTTGAATGCTCCAGGCACTCCACTACATATGCTGTGACAATATGGTGCAGTGCAGTGGTGCAGTGCAGTCTGAGAAGGAAGCAATGATCGTACAGTCGAGAGAGAGAGAGAGACAGAAAAAGAGAGAGAGAGAAAGAGAGATCGAGTGACGAATAGCAGTGATGCCAATTTGCGTGTAATTACACGAAATGCGTGTAATTTTTACCCCTTGCGTGTAATATGCGTGTAATGGAATTTTGCGTGTAATTTCTGAAGTAGCTCATATTAGAGAGAAATATAAAGAAGAATAATAAAAGTCATGTTCTGAGTTCTGAATGATGTAAATTGTTCATTCAAGTGGCACTGACAAATTTGAATCGTCTTGTCTTATTTTCTTATTTATGTTTTTCAATTTTAAGCATTTTTAAGCAGTTATTTTTATTTTGGTTACTTCTGAAATTTAAAATTTTAACAAAGGAGTGAAAAGTTTGAAATATTATTTAATATATTATTATTGACTAAAATGGACCATTGGTTGAGGAAGGTTAGCATATTTGATCCAAATTGATCCTCCATGTGAATTACATATTCATTTACAGGCTATTTCAAACAAACCTGAAGATAGATGTGAAATGTCTTCATCAGAATTTTTAGTAGCGCCAAGTACATCTAGTATTAAGGTTGACGATACTATTGAGTCAGAAGTGAAAAATACGAAGAAAACTAGAAAATATAAATTTTGTGAGTGTTGGTTGCAAGAATCAAATTTGAAAAATTGGTTGACGAAGTCAAAAGATATGGGAAAACATAAAGAATGTCAGGCTTTTTGCAAATTATGCCAAGTAAATATTCTACCTCATAAGGCAACCTTGTTGAAACACAGACAATCTACAAAACATAAATTTCTAGAGAAACAAGTTTCCACCTCTTCAGATTTATCAAAGTTATTGAATAATCCATTGTCTGAAAAAACGAGACGAGCAGAAATCAAATTAGCAGGCCTTCTGGCAACTAATAATTTACCATTTTCATTAACAGATGTTTTGACTCCCCTACTTCTGGACATTTTTCCCGATAGCACAATAGCACATGAGATGTCTTTAAAGAAGAATTTTATAATATTCTTAGAAAAAATGGCTCATTTTTCTCTATTATTATGGATGAAACGACTGACTTTTCAACCAAGAAACAATGTGCCTTTGCTGTTATATATTATGATGCATCAAAGAACAGAGAGCTGTGTAGATTTTTTGATATGGTAGAACAGTGTTCTGAGAGGGCAGAGGATTTATTCAAGTGTTTAAAAAATACCATAACTGATAAGAGAATTCCTTTCACAAATGTTGCTGGCTTTTCCGCAGATACAACCAATTGTATGTTTGGCAAAGAGCTGTCTGTTGCAGCTCTTTTAAAAACAGAACTTCCTAATATCGTAACTATAAAATGTTCATGCCATATGATTCATTTGTGTGCTTCTAAGGCATGTATGGAACTTCCTCGATCTGTTGAAGATTTACTAAAGAATATTGGTTCCCATTTCCATAGAAGTGCTCGAAGAACAGAAAAATTTAAAGAATTTCAAGAATTTTTTGGAGTAGAAATCCATAAAATTCTTTCTCCTTCTATTACTAGATGGCTCTCCTTGAAAACTTGAGTTGATAGAGTATTAGAACAGTTCGAACCACTTCATATGTATTTTAGAGAATATGTATTTTCTGATCCTTCCAAAACAACAGAAGATATGCTGAACACAATGAATAATAAATTTACCTTAATATATTTGGAACTGATGTCATATGTTCTTGGACTTCAATGTTTTATTTCAAGGAGAAACACCACTTCTATACAGACTGAAACCAGAAACAGAAAGGTTGCTGAAAATATTATATTCAAATTTTTTAGATTTATCATATTTTAAAGGTCAAGACGCATTTTCTGTAT